CTCTGGGGAGAGGACCCCCGCTCAAGCCCGGCCTCTCGGCTCTGTGATTCTGGGGAGAGGACCCCACTAAGCCCGGCCTCTCGGCTCTGTGATTCTGGGGAGAGGACCCCCGCTCAAGCCCGGCCTCGGTGACACTCAGTCTGCACCTCAGGCATGAAAATGACGCCGAGCTCAGACAGCCATGGAACTACCAGGCCCGGTCTGCCCTGGGCCTGCAGACCTCCAGGAGCCTTCGGGCAAGTGCCTGAGGAAGAACTCCACATAAGTCTCTGCCTGTGTCCTGTTTTTAAAGAAGGCTGGCAGGATTTGGGGGCCTAAGCCTTAAAACAGAATCCCCTTCCTCTCAAACCCATTCGGAAAAGTGGGTCTGCAAGACCTTTGAGACAGTCAGCAGGGGGGTCGTGGGAATTCCTGGGAGAGCTCTGGCTGCGTGAACCCTAAGAATTGCAGAGCTTCTGTAGGGCATTTGCCTCCTGCCTCCAGCCCTCAGCCTGGAGCTCCCAGTCTCAGCAGCCGATAAGCAGGCCAGCCCTGCTCTGTGAAATCTTAGAGAAGGTCAGTCCCAGGGGTGGGAGTTCCCAGCAAGGCCAAGCCTCTGTCCCGGCTGCCCTGCGGCATAAGCGGGATCGCGTTGCTCGTGACTTGACTGCCCACAGTGGGTTTTAGTCGCTCCCTCCTCCCACAGCCACGCAGTTCGCAGATACGGCATGTGTGGACATGCGGTATGTGATGCACTCAGGCACGCATGCTTGCCAGCTGTCCTCTGCCGCCTCGCTCGCTCTGTGTCTTATGCTCCATGTCATTGATTGCTTTGGGTGTGGGGGGACAGGAGGTTACCTGATGGAATAACTCTCTCTTCACCAATTCCTTGTTGTAGACTATTGGGGAGAGTCTTATTACAGTGACCTCATCGACTTGCATCTGGGTGGTATGTATGGCAGCATCTGTGCTGACACTAACCCCGCTGACACCCTTTCTCCACCACACTCCCCCGTCCCTGCTCACAGAGACAAGGACAAGTCAACCCCATAACCAAATGGTGAAAGCACAGACCCTTTTCCAGCTGAAATCAGAGCAGCGTGCTGATCTCCCCACTGCCCCCTCGTGCTCCAGAGGAAGATCTGACCTAGCTTTTCTGCCTGGGGCCATTTTAATTTTTATAATAAAACTTTGCCCGCCCACTCCACCAGCCTTGCCTCTGCGTCCTGGTCCCCTAAATACACATGCTGCAACACAACTTTGACTGCTCATAGGAATCATGTCTGCTAGGGAGCTCACTGCCTGCCACACTTAAGCAAAGAGGCAAAGACGCCAAGATCTCAGCCCCCACCATTTCCATTAGGGTGTGCTCTCAATGTCTCCCAGAAGCGCTGAGTGCAAGGGAAAGGCTTCTCTCTTGTGATTTCTGCCCAGATTCACCAAACCCAAAGCCAGACTGACAGGTGCCGGTAACAATGTCCCTCCTCCTTGCTCTGTCCCAGAGCTCACTTTTTACTTCTTTTCAATGAAGACAGGAAAAGCCCAAGGCTACAGTTCTCAAAGTGTGGTCCCTGGGCCAGCAGCAGCATCACCTAGGAGCCTGTTAGAGAGGCACAGGCCCAGACCCTGCCCCAGACCTACAGAATCAGAAACTGGGGTGAGACCTGGTTATCTGCTGTAACAGACTTTCCAGCAGGCTCCAGTGCCCTCTAGAGCGGGAGAAACACTCGCTTAGAGGTTGCAGTGTGTTTGGCGTCTTGCGGTTTGTATTAGTTCAGAGGAATGGCTGACACCTGAGTCTCACGCCTAAGCTTTGGGCAGCTTTTCTCCTGGGCCGCTGCCATTGTGGCAAGGGGAATGCTGGGGACTCTGGCTCCTCCTCCCTGTTCCTATGTCCTTTGGTCTGGTAGTCTGCCCACTTCATCTCCCCATGGAGGCTCCATGCCTAGAGGTGGTCTTCAAACAGCAGAGTGGCAAAGATAATTCTCTCATGTTTTACCCTGACCCCGTTCTTTTAAGAGGGTCACTTCCTGGTCCATTCATTTAAATATCAGTGTCATAGTTCTGTGATTCCACCTGTCAGGGCCACATCCAAGGCAGGGCTCTTGCCTCCCTGGGAAGAGGGACTGTTGCTATCTATGTTTTCCCACGCCCCCATGGACCCACCCCTTGGAGACTCACTCGGTGTCCCAGGGCTTCTGGTGTGTTCAGGGACCACCACACTCATGGTCATGGGTGCTGCAGAAGGGCCGGTGCTTACAGTCCAATTAACAGACCCTGTTCCCATCTAATGCCTCCTGTCTCGTGCTAACACCACCTCGGTCGTGTTCCATGTCCATGCTAAGCAAATCTCAGTGTATGAAAAAATTCACACCTGTTATCCCAGCAATTTGGGAGGCCAAGGCAGGTGTACCATTTGAGCCCAGGAGTTAGAAACTAGTCTGGGCAACATGGTGAAACCCCGTCTCTATAAAGAGATTTTTTTAATTAGCTGGGCATGGTGTCACGTGTCTGGTACTTCCAGCTGCTAGGGAGGCCAAAGTGGGAGGACCACCTGAGCCCAGGAGTTTGAGGCTGCAGTGAGCTGTGGTTGTGCCACTACACTCCAGTCTGGGCAGCAGAGCCAGCCCCTGTCTCTCATTACATTCAGAGTCTCCTGGAGGAGTCTGTCAGCACATTTCCTGAGGATTGCATCCACCCTTCCCTCTCAGTTCAAGCATCTCCTGCTTTCTTTGCCCTCCTTGCTTGAGTGAGAAGAGGCAGTGAGCTGCTTTCTTCTGTGGGTCCCCGGACTCCAGCTGCTAGCTTTTTGGAATTCTGGAAGTTTCAGGGGGAAATGAAATAGAAAAAGGAAACTCAGTGTGCCCTGTGAGTTACACAGTGCCCCACCGCTGCCACTCGTAACCCTTTGAATGTGGGCTCATCAACTCATCACTTCCCCTTTCCCAGCCCGCCGTGACTTCTGCCTAAATTCAAGACTTTTCGGGTTCTGCTCACCACATGGTGGCTGCTGCTGCCCTAATAAGGAAGCTCGAAGGGGACATCCCCTCTGAGGGAGTCTCTTGTGGTCCTGGTCCCACCATGCCCCACAGGGATGACAGCAGTGCCAGAATTCACTTCCTCTTCTGCTTCTGCCAGTGTTTCATTCTTGGAGCACTTGGTAATGTTCATTAATTGGAGGGAGAATCACCCTGTTGAGACCTGGAGCCTGAAATGTAAAACCTGGTTGCTCGTCTGCACTTGCATCCCCAAAAGGCCACCCAAAGCCCTATTTCTGTACCACAGCACCTGGCTCATTTCTCCCGTCGGCAGAGCACAGCACCAAGTAGCCCTCGGAGCGCTGGGAATGGCCACCTTCTGCCCTGTGCCCTGTGCTCTGCCTGTCACACTGCAGCCTCTTTCAGTGGCCCTCAGTGAACTACCTCAAGGCTCTGAAAGTCTGTTTTCAGCGACAGAGTATAAAGAATGAAATTTCCCTTCCTCACATGGCTGGACCTTGTGATTTCCGAAGAAATCATCAAAGAGACTCAAAATAGCCCTTGGGCCAGAGAGGAAGGGTCCCCAGGTGGCCACTCCCCTTCCCTCCTCTTCCCTGGGACCCCGAATGGGCCCAGCCCAGCCTACTTTATTGCACTGTAACAGAGAGATGACTGGAAATCTAGAAGAAAACCACATTTCTTCTAAAATTGATTGAAAATACACATTATTTCTAGTTTTGGGGGACCTCATCTCTTGATTTTTATGTCTCAAAGGGAAATTGAACAGGGAAGGTTTAGAAATGTAACATGAACCGGAGGGTGACTTCACTGTGGTGAGATGGGAGCGCAGGATGCCAGCCCCTTGCCTGAGCTACTGTCTTCCTGCTCTTTCTGCTTCTCTGGGTTTTCTGTTGGGAGATTCTTGGTTTGCCTGCTTAGTCCGCCATCAGCCCGGCTCTGCTTTGCTTAGGAACTTTGGAACCTGTGAGGTTTCGCAACATGTGCGTGCGTGTGTGCGTGTGTGTGTGTGTTGGATTGTAATTCTTACATGCATTTGGGGTGTGTGTGTGTGTATGTGTGTGTGCGTGTATTCGATTGTAATTCTTACATGCATTTGGTTGTGTGTGTGTGTGTGTGTGTGTGTGTGTGTGTATGTATTGTTTTGTAATTACATGCATTTGGGGGTGTGTGTGTGTATTGGATTGTAATTCTTACATGCACTTTGTGTGTGTGTGTGTGTGTGTGTGTGTGTGTTGGATTGTAATTCTTACATGCATTTGTTTGGTTTTTTGCCTTACATTTTCCTCCCAACCTGGAGCTTTATCTCTGCACTAAGTCTGTGTAGCGCCAGGCGTCTCCCTGCCCCACCACATGGATGCTACACTGGGCCTCCTGGGCCAGCCTCATCCTGTCATGCCGCCTGCTCACATATCTGCAGTATTGCACCCAGCCAGCTGGGGCCCCTGTCAGGGCCACGGTGTTTGTCATTGCCCAAAGTTTCAGACTGGACCTCAGCCTTACAGTGCAAAGCGTGCCCCATGCCAGGAACTTGGCATTGGTGGTACCCACCAAATGGGATTCCTGGGTTGGGGACTCAGACTAGCCAAGTGCCTTCTTAGCAAAACATTTGGTCAGTCTTCCCTCACACTTACCAGGCTGCATAACCTGAGCAAGGCAGAGCAGAAAATCTGTGGCGGCCCTATTCCATAATTTGAGCCGCCGGGGAATTCCAGCCCCGGCACTTTGCTTTCTGACAGTTTTTGAGACGGGGTCTGGCTCTGTCACCCAGGTGGAGCGCATCATGGCTCGCTGCAACCACCGCCTCCCAGATTCAAGCGATTCTCCTGCCTCAGCCTCCTGAGTAGCTAGGACTATAGGATGCGCCACCACCCCCAGCTAATTCTGTGTTTTTAGTAGAGAAGGCGTTTCACCAAGTTGCCCAGCCTGGCCTTGAACTCCTGACCTCAAGTTATCTACCCATCTCTGCATCGCAAAGTGCTGGCATTACAGCTGTGTGCCAGCACTCCTAGCTGCTTTCTGCAAGTTGAACCTGATCAGCTGGGCATAGCCATGACAGGCAGTGCCCCTGGTGTTTCCTAGGAAAAGGTGACAAAAGCTCTGGTGTCTGTGACAGGAGTTAGATAAAAGCCATTGCTCTGTCACTATCTTTGTATTATTTATATTATAATATTTATGTTATTTCTATTTGTACCATATTTACCGGTAAATACAGTGGCATTACTGCCAAAACAAGTGTGAGAAATGAGAGTTCACCCGTGAGCTAAGGGCTGCACAGGGCTGCCCAGAGAGGCAGGAAAGTGGGGCCTCAAAATGTGCCTGAGAAATAAGCGAGCCTCTTTCCTGTCCCCCCCCCTTGGAGTGTGATCCTCAGAGGCCAAAAGGAAGTCAAAACCAAAAGTGATCTCTCTCTGTGCAGGATGTTCCAGAAGTGTGGCTGAAGGGGAAGGAGCTGACTCGGGCTGTGCAGAGCTCTGCATGAAACACGCAGCGTGTCAGAAGGGAGGGTGTGGGGCCGCCCCGGACTCTTGAAAGGCGGTGTTCTGAGGCGCTTGCACGCTGATGATCTGGAATTCTGTATTTTCCCATGGAAGTGCAGTTGTAAATGGTGGCTCAGCTCACAAAAGCCCGTTTTCCTCATTACACCTCTGTGTATGGTACTAGCCTGGTGACTCTCCGGGACCTAACCTGTGTTCCCTGGGGAAATGCAGCATTCCAGGCTGGGACCTCTAGGACCAAAATCTCCGTAATGGGTCCTCTTTTGGTCTGCTGGGCACTGCTATAGGGACCTCCCCAGCTCTGAGCCTTGGTGATAGCACCTTTGTCCAACCAGGGGGAGCTGAGAGCCTGTCTAGTGGGTCAAGACAGATACTGAGATGAGGCAGATCCCCAGGGTCAGTAGTTCACTTGGAGAACGGCCCGCCACCTTGCCTGCCGCCGTGGCTGTGCTTGCCTCTGCTGCCAGACGGAAGTTCTTTCCTGCTTTAGCTGCCACATGGTTAGCATTGGTGGCTGGTGCATTCGGGGTGCGCGGTAAGCGTTTCTGGTATAAATTATCAGTCTTCCGCATTGTCCTTACCACAAGCCATGATTCATGTACATTTCTGTTTGGGATGTAAGCACCAATGTAGAAGCCAGTGGGTTAAACGTAGCCAGGCAGAATTGAATGATTGAGTCGGAAATGCAGAGCACGACGCCAGCACCCACCACCACACAGGTCGTTGCTGGTGGTCGTCAGGCTGTGAACAGAGTTGGGCCTTTGTCTCTTGGCCCCTCTGCGCTACTGTTATTTATTTGTTTATTTTGTAGAGGTACGGTCTTACTCGCCCAGGCTGGAGTGCAGTGGTGCGATCATGGCTCTCTGCAGCCTTGACCTCCTGAGTTCAAGCAGTCCTCCCACCCTAGCCTCCGGAGTAGCTGGGATTGTACTCAGGCTACCACACCCAGCTAATTATTGTAGAGACAAGGTCTCACTACATTGCCTAGGCTGGGCTCCAGACGTTCTCTCACTCTGGCCTCCCGAAGCGCTGGGATCACAGGCATGAGCCCCCGCACCTCCGAGCTTTCTGATCATATCCTCAGTAATCCTCGTGAGCAAGGCACTCGAGCCTCTGCACCGTGGTCTCAGGACCAGGGCTGCTGGGATTTTGAGTTCCGGAAGGACGGAAGTTAGCCCTGCCTGCCTTTCAGACGGGCATCCAGGCCCAGCGTGCTGGCTTGTCTGCTTGCTTGTGTTTCTAGCCGCCTGGGTGTGATCTTGATGCAGTGTGCTAAGGTGAAGAGGCTTGGACTTGGCCTTGTGAGGAAGTGGGGAGAAGGTGGGAATATAGGACATGTGCAGAGGAGGGGACCTGCCCTACGACTGGCTGCTCTTTCTCCCACCCTGTCAGCCGTTCTACCCCAGGCTGGGTCCTGAGAGGCAGGGCCTGGAGTGAGGTGTTCAGGTGTGCCAAGGGCCAGGTGGTAGTGTGAGGGGCACCCCGACTTAGGAAGGCGAGGCATGGATTCGGGTCCTGCCTTCACTGTCTCCCCAGGCACAGACAAAACAGACTATGCTTACCCTCTCGGGGCCTCTTCAGAAGATGGGGCAGGAAGGGACATCGGGCCTCCCTTCCAGGTGTGACATTCTGATCAGGGTCTGTGGGACTGCCCTTTGAGCTGCCTGAGACGCCGCCATTCGTCAGATTTGCCTAGAGCCTGTGCTGGCCTTACAGAGGACACGCTCTGAGTTGAGAGTGGGAAGGAAGATCTGGATTCTTTTCCAGGCTCTGCCACACTTCACCCCTTTGCACCTCAGAACCCTCATTTGAAGATGGTGACTCAAATGCCCATCCTGGCAGCCACACCTGGCCGGGGTGAGGACCGCATGGGTGGTGCTTGTGAGGGCACCTTAAAGCCAGAGGGTGTCTCACACTTTGCTTTGGACAGGCCTTACTCCCTGGTGGGGATCTGCTGCTGTTTGAAATTCGGTGACAGGCACTGCCTGCCCACCAGGGGTCAAGCGAGTGGCACTAACAAGCCACCCCGAGTCACACGTCCAAAGGAAGTGCAGCTTCAGAGGGAAAGATAGAGCGGTGTGCCCGCGAGTGTTGGGGACAGCAGCAGGGTGCTCCAGGGAGGGGCGTGCGGGCCTTCCAGACACCCCAGCCAGGACACACTCGCCGCTCGGGAGCTCAGCAGGGGTGGCTGGCGCCCGGGGTACAGGAGTGCTTTGAGAAGTGGTAAGCTATAGCATCTGTTAGCAACAGATGGAAGCCCATTTCCCTGACGTTAAGAAAAACCAGAAAACTTCCATTTGCTGTAAGCTTGACAGCATCTTTGTTCTTAGAACCAGTGAACCAAATCTGCTGTTTCTCACATCTCCCTAAAAGGCAAAGAATTTACTACAAAAGCAGACCTGGCCCCTAGCATGCTCAGGCCAGGTTGTAGTCGGGTGGAACTCCCCTTGTTTGATCGGTCTTTCCCTTCCACATCTTATTTTTAAAATTGTATTGATGGGGCGTTTTTTCTGATTACACAAGTAGCACTGCTCGCTGTGGAAGCGGCGGAGTGTAAGGAAGTCCGGAGGTGATGACCCCGCGGCGCAGCCCACCCGCGCTTACACGCTCCTGCCTCTTGCTAGGAGAAGCCTTTTTGCTTCTTTTAAATGCTTGCCTTACCTGATGCCCTCTTTCTCTAATTTCATCTCCTAATTTCTGTTCTCAGCATTCTGTTATATTGTCCTCTGTATTGGGAAGGGCGTGTGAGGATGTGGCCTCCATAAAAAGCTCCGAAAGCTGTGTTTTGTGCTGTCCAGAAAGCAGAAACACGTGTTGTGCTGTACACCCGTGCAGGCGCCTGCCTCTTCCTTTTGGATGTGTTTTGGTTGTGTATCACAGGGGCGCTGTTCCGCTCCACAACGTGGCCTCGTCGCCTGTGACACCAGTCCCAGGAGGTGGCTGGGAGCGTTCACTGAGGTATTTGATGGGAGTCATCCAGCGGTCTAAGTCTCCACACAGACTCTACACTTTGAAGCTGAGGGTGACTGTAGATGGGCTGGCTGCAAGGCAGAGGGTATTGTTGAGGAAAGAAACCCTCCTCGTGTGCCCACGCGGTCGGCTGGCCATGCGTGTGTGTTTAGCACACTGGCAATAATCAGCACTGGACGTGCATGCACACTGTCCCTGGCTTTGGCTTTGAAGTTGTACCCAGTGCAGATTCAGTGTGCCCGAAGCACTGTGCACACACTGGAAGGACTCAGACAGAACACCTGCCTTCGTGCAGCTGCACCACTGAGTGGCCTCTGAGCCAGCGTTTGTCTTGTTGACCTTCCGTTGAGTCAAACAAGGTCATTTCTTCAACCCTGTTCTCTCTGTAAACCACACACTGCCCTCCCCACGGGCTGAGGCCCGGTGTCTTCCTGGGCTGTGTCGTCCCTGTGTGTGCTCTGTGGTTCTGTGATGGTCCCTTGCCAAGCTCCTCTCCCTCGTCCTTGAGTAGCCATCAGACCCCGGATGTAGAGATGTCTCTGCACACTGTCTCCCGGTTCCCCGCCAGCCTCCTCCCAGCATCGCTCCTGTAAGTTTTGGCGTGTCCTGTCCGCTCACCCCTTTGGTCTCACAGTCTAGAGCGTGATAGCCCACAGCCGTGGCGTGGGGTCCCTGCACAGCCATGGAAGGGCCAGAAGGAAAGGGGGCGGTTGGCTCTCCCCGTGCCTGGGGGAGAGAAGGGACAGTGACACGGACGGGTGGAAGTCACCTCTGTGTGTGTACGTTTCCCCAAAATTGTCCTGGCTCAGAATTCGAAGCAGCGCAGATGCAGGAGTCCCAAAAGCCCACTGCAGGATTGGGTGCTGTCCCCACAGACTCAGAGGCCCCTCCTTGCCCTACGCTTGTCAGCGCCAGCTTTGCCTCAAGCACATGCCTGTGGTGACATCTTAGAGGATTCCACGTGGGTCTGGGAGGTGACCCCAGGTTGTCACCTGCAAGCCTGGAAGCCATGTTGGCCACTTATTCAATACAGTCTGTCCCAGAGCCATGCAGACCTGTCCAGGGGCTTTGAGGAGGGGCCTAAGGCCACTGTATGACAACCCAGATGCCACTGCCCTCTCAGAAAGGAGTTAAGACAGGAGAGGGCCTCATGGCCCTCGCCATCATGTAGGGCACACGTCCCTCTTGGAGGAATCCACGCTGCTGCTCTGAGCCCCTCGCCCCCTCTGTGACGCTGCCCAGAGCTGGGTCTGCTCTCGTTCAGTTCCGTGCTGAAAAAAGGACTTAATTCATTTGTAGACTTTGTTTCCCTTGTTTCTGCTTCTCCATTTCTTGTATTTTTTCTTTTCCTCCTGTTGGTCCTTTCTCACTTTTTATGCTTTTTGTCCTCTGCCTGTTTTTATTCCACCTTCTCCCGTCCCTCTCCACTTCCAAATTCCTGCTCCTCTTCCCTCCTCCTTTTTGTCTTTCTCCGCCTCCTCCTCTTCCTTGTTTGGTCCCTTTTGAAGTTGAGCCCAGTGGCGGGACTCCACGGCGTAGACCTCTCTCCTTCTGCCCTTGCTGTGTCCAGGAAGGTAACGTAACCTCGCCAACCCCACCCTACTGCCTCAGAGGGGGCGCAGCAACTCTAGTCAAACACGAGCCAGCACCACCTACCCCTCTCTCTCTCTCTCTCTCTCTCTCTCTCTCTCTGACCCTCAAGAGTCTTGTCACAAAATGTCATGAGTCTGTGGCAGTTTCTAAAGGTACAGTATCCCTTTGACCGTCCAAGGGGAGGACCAGGGTGCAGAGTGAAGCCAGGGAGCCTCCAGGTCTGGGTGTTTCGGGGCTGCAGCACCGCCCAGCCCATCGTGGCTGGGGCCTTTAAGTCTCACATCCGTCAGCTAGAGGGGCAGGGATGCAGGTGAGGAGCCCCACCTGTGCACAGCGATTTGGTTGGCGGAGTCAAGGAATACTGTCCTTACAAAGATGGGTCTGCCCGAGTGCCCTCGGGTCCCTTTCCAGAACAACCACTGAAGGCAAACCTCTCTACCTTGTGTCTTGCTGAGTGTGTGTTTTTTCAGTTTGTCTGATTTGAAGTCTGTTGTGGTGATAAGATTGTCGTTGAAAGGCATGTGGGGGGTGTGGCGATGACTAACCCTGCTAACTGTTACCTGCCGTCCGGCACTCACCCGACTCCCACGCACAGCACCCCCGCCCGGCGGCTGTGGGCGAGCTCTCTGCAGCTAGTGAGCGGTGTTCGCACGTCTCTGGTGGCGTTTTCTGTGTCTTCGCGGGGAGGTGGGCAGCGGTAGAGAGTCCCTGGTGCCGCCGCGGCTGGGCGCACTGGACAGCTTGCATGCCTCGGGCCCCTCCTCCACAGCCATGTGGGCACATTGTGCAGAGACGCTCCGGAAGCAGTGCATGGAACTGAGTGGGGACCCGAGCCTATTGGATTGGGTAAAGAGAGCGCTGGGCCCCTGACCCTCAGGCTCAGGCATGCACTCCACAGTCACAGGCTGGACAGGCCGGGGAGCTTCCGTCCTTCAGAGCAGGGCTCAGGGGCAGGACCCCGCTTGGGAGCAGAGCTGCATGTGCACTAGGGCACAGTGCAGACACCCCTGCTTGTGTGAACACGGTGCATTTCTGCCTCCTTGGTGTGGCCACTGGGTAGAGACTAACTGGCTTAGGCCTCATGTGTCTAGCAGACCCCACTGCAGAAAGTCTGTGAACCATGTGTCAGAAGGGCAGGTGGAGCCATGGAGCCAGCAGTGAGGGGGACTCGGGCTGCGTCCGGCACCCCAGGCTGTGCACCTCGAACTCCTGGGCTTGTTAACCAGGCTAGAATGCCCCCTGCCAGCAACGCAGAGAGTGGAAGGGACTCTCAAAGATGTCCCCATCTAGTGGCCCCTCAACCTGAGGCCCAGGGATGGACTGCAGGAAGCCCAGGAACAGCTTGGAATTCTCCTTGAAGTGTTTGCTGTGCACGCATGAGCACTTTTCTAGAAGAGAGTCCCTAGCCTTTATGAGATTCTCAAAGTGGTTTGTAATCCAAAAATACTGAAGAGCCACTGACACAGCATGTATTCCAGGCAGGACCACACTTTTGCCATGAGCCTCTGTGCTGCAGAGAAAAGGCCTTGCTCCCTCCTTGGGTGGCTTGGTCCCTTGGAGACGTCTTCCTTGTGTCCTCCTGCCACCGTGAGGCCCAGCCGTCAGGCCCTCAAGAGGGAGATTTGGTATCAGGCACTTTTGGTTCGGGCAGCCTGAGCTAGCAGGCAGCAACCAGCCACAGGCATTCTATTGGTTTGGCCCAGACCAGGGCGTGGCGCCTCCGTCGGTCCCCAGAGGCTGCTAGTGTTTCTCCGCTCTTGGTGAGAAACGCGGCGGCCCGCCTGGGATGCACTGCGTCCACCATGCAGGACCCGGCGGGAGAGCAGCCGGAAGCTTGATGGGCCACAAGTGAAGTGGTGTTGTCTTCTTTACCTGGTCAGGAGATAAAGAAATGACAAGGCATCCATTCTGGTGGCCCTGGAGGCGGGCAGCAGCCGGAAAAGAGCTGAGTTAAATGAGCATGACTCGAATCGAGGGCAGGGTGCAGTTGACAGATTGATATTGGCCTTGTTTACGACACTGGTTTCCTCCAAGGATACCTAGTACACAGCAAGTGCCAAATAAACATGGAGTGGGAAAAAGAGGGAAAGCAGCGTAAGTCACCCCAAGAGAGCACACAGAGCAGGAAGGCAGAAACCAGCCCCGAGGAGGGCAAGGGCCCCGCTGGCAAGGTCGCTGGCGGGGTGAGCAGGGATGGCAGGACACAGGAAGCACAGGGCCCTGCCCCGGGGAGGCGGTCGCCAGGACCCCATGGCTGCAGGCAAACCTTGGGCCTGGCTTGGGAGTGGAAGTTCCGGCAGCATCTTGCCCGGCCCTCTTTGCACATTTGCCCCGTGTGACTCCTGCGGGCCGGGGTGGGTGCGGCACTCCCTGCGCCCGACACGAACGTTCTCTCGGCAGGCATGGGCAAGAAGGACGACCCCAAGCTGATGCAGGAGTGGTTCAAGCTCGTGCAGGAGAAGAATGCCATGGTGCGCTACGAGTCGGAGCTGATGATCTTGTGAGTGGCCGTGGGTAGGGGGTGTCGGCACCATGCCTGTCACAGCAGACATGGAGGTCCTTCTGGATTTGGGGGTGAGGGGTGGTCCCCAATCACTGTGGCTTATCTCTCTCCTGCCCTGCCTCCTCAGTGCCCGGGAGCTGGAGCTGGAAGACCGACAGAGCCGACTGCAGCAGGAGCTCCGGGAGCGCATGGCAGTGGAAGGTGAGTGGGCTGAGGTGCCCGTGGAGGCCGGGGTGGGCACCGCCTCCTGGGCCCTCATCTCGCCTTCCGCTCCTTCCAGATCACCTTAAGACCGAGGAGGAACTGTCAGAAGAGAAGCAGATTCTCAATGAGATGCTGGAGGTGGTGGAGCAGAGAGACTCGCTGGTGGCGCTACTGGAGGAGCAGCGGCTCCGGGAGAGGGAGGAGGACAAGGACCTGGAGGCTGCCATGCTGTCCAAGGGCTTCAGCCTGAACTGGTCCTGAGCTCCCACCCAGCGCTCCGTTGGCTGTTGGCATCCGCCTGGCCAGTCAGTGGCCTCCAAACCACCTGGAGCCGCAATCTGAGGAGGCCTGGCACCTCCTTGGAGTTTACGCTCAGTGCTGTGTGCTGCCCGGAAAGTGGCCGAGTCCCGTGAGCCGTGGGGAGCCCCAGGTGATGGTGGTTATCTGAGACAGCTCCACCTCCTGGGAGGAGGCCCACCTGGACCTCCCGCTCGGGGGAGGAACACGGCCTGCGTGGCCTGACGCAGGGGACCCCGCACGCTCCGAGGACGCGCTGCTGTGCCCCTTTCTTCCACTGGCACATTTGGTAAGAGAGGGAAGCTGCTCCCATCAGAACCACAGCCCGCTGCCACAGCATGGGCGGGGCACCGTCATCTTCCTGCTTCCTGGAGCACCACCAAAGAAATGAAAACGATACGCCACGAGAGCAGGGTGCGATCGAGACCAGGATGGGGAGGTCACCAGCTGTGCCCACCGCAGCATCACAGGAGACATGGAGGTGCCTGCAGGCTCCGGGATTGACTATGCAAATTAGGAGGAGGCAGGAGAGGTCTGCCCCCCCGGCCCAGCACCATGCTGGACCCCAAGTGGCCAAATGCCGGTGCCTCTGGCTGGCTGTGGCCTGAGGCCTGTGGGTTGCTGCATTTTGCTTGTAGTTCACAACTATTCTGACACTGGAAAATGCTGACCTTGGTGGACGGGATGAGGCCCTACATTCTACGCCCCCAGCTGGCAGACAGGCCCTGTCCCTGCTCCACACTTTATGTCGGGGAGGAGATGACCTTTTCCTCAGTTTTTTCCCGTGTTTGCACATTGAAATGAAGCTGACAGCCTGGCAGGACGCTCAGCCGCTTCGGACCCCTTCTATCAATTAACTTATTTTTTTAATACTTGAAGTCACTTCATTTGTGTATCTTTACCAGAGACACTGAGCACCTGGCACCCGGGTACGGGAGCCGCAACGGCATCTGCTGCGTCCTGCGTGACCCCGCCAGGGGCTGCCAGGTGCTCACCGTGTGCATCTATTTATTAGCCTTCCTCTTCATGTCACTGGCTCAGCTGGCATCAGGGAGCTGCCCAGGACCCCGGCGGGTACTGCTCACAGCTTTCTGTCCCCTTCCTCCTCCCAGTGTCTGCCTCACCCTGCACTAGACCGTACGGACTGCTCACGTGATGGGGGCACGTTTCTGTTCTGTTTTGGTCCAAGCCAATGGCATAGCTGCCGCTCTCACCCTCCCGATGGGAATCCTGGCTCTGCAGAACCCATCCTTTTCTCAGTGTGGGTGCCAGGGCATCACCTCCCTCCACACGTACGTTAAAGGTTTCCGGGTGGGACTGTGGAATCATGTGGCTGGTGAGAATCACCTCTGCCCAGCCCGAGCTTCACCCAGACGGAAACGCCTGTGCTGCAGTGGGTGATGGGTGTCGGCTGGTCTCTCTTGAGCAGATAAGCGATCCCGCCCTCCCGCGGGGGACGGGCACCTGCCTTGTGCCAGATCTTCATGGGGCCATAAAGGGTGGTGAGCCCCGAATCACTAGCTCCTACAGCCAAACCGTTCCTTTCTCACGGTTCCACCCCAGCCTGGCTCTATACAGCTCATCAAGCCACTGAGATAATCGGGGGTGGGGTGCTTGTCCATCAAAGCAGTTAGCACATAGCCCAGGAGGGAGCCACCGGGCCAGACCCACCTGCAAGGGGCGCTCCAGCTGCCTGCCGCCTCCTGTGGGCTAGGGCCAGCAGGGGCGAGGGGGTGTGGCCCCTCCAAGGCATCCTGCAACAGCAGGCCAAGGGGCTGCGCTGATCTTGGGCTTTCCATGGGAACCACTGTGCCTCAACTTCAACATTCATCCCCAACTGCAAAGGAGCAAAGAACCCATCTCCTCCTCGTCTGTCCAGAAGCTGCGTCTTTCTCCCGTGCACATCCAGGAGCTGGTGCTGGTGGCCGCCACAGCTCTGACTCCACCTCCTGTTCTCACGTGAGGCAAAGATCTCCCTTTTCTCTTTACTTAAAAACGGAGAGAAGAGCGTTCTAGATTCCATCTTCAAACCGAGTCTTCCCATAAAATTGGACATAGGGAAGGACCTTCACTGCCTGCGTGGTCTTTCCCAGAGCCCTCCTCTCGAATGCCACAAAACCAGCCCCGCCCTGGCAGAGGCACCCTCAGCCCTTGTGGCTCCTGCTGACCCCCCCCACAGGGAAGCCGTCTGCACAGTGGCTCCAAAGGAGTGTGGCCTAGGGGTCCGCCGTAAGTGGCCTGAGGTAGCAGGAGGGCCCAGCGTCACCTTCTGGTCCTGGTCAGCCTTAACCCTGGCATCCTCCACAGCACACACGACGGCCCGCGGTCTGGAAAGCGGACCCGGCCTTCGCAGAGGCGCACAGAGCCGCAGGCCCGCGCAGCATCACCCGGCCTTCCGCTCGTGACTGCGAGGACGTCGGCTCTTGTAGAGCACTTTTTAAAGCTCCCATTTTGTAACCACTAGTTTGCAGTTGGCTTTAGTACTCTGGTGACTTACTGCATGAAGTGTTTTCAAACCGTGAGAATGCGTGCAGCTCCAGGCAGGTCTTCCTGAGAGTTCAGTCTTCTCTTGAAGTCAGGGAGGCAGGATGGATACACATAGATCACACAGAACATGCCAGGCTCGAGGCTGAGTCCCTGGAGGTCCACATGCAGCTTCCCTGGAGGGCAGGCAGGAGGCACTCCCGCCCCAGGGGCTCCCAGGCCCGTTCAGATGCTGCCTCCGACCTCTCCCTCAGCGGCCATCATCCGGCCAATACTGACCAGCAATGATAGACTCTTCTTAACCCTTTCAAAAGAAGAAATTTTTCAGTGGGACAGAAAGAGTTTAAAAAAAAATTTTTTTTCTAAGGTGGTAACATCTGACCCACAAGGGGATGGGTCTGTTTTACGTGAAATAAAAGTTTTTCAAAGAAATAGTGTGTTTCTTCAGTCATCTTACCATATTTTTCTGGTGGCCCGTGTAGGCGCCAGGTGTGCCTGGGTGTGTGCAAGTCTGTTCAATGAACTCGGTTTTTTTTTTTTTTTTTTTTTTTGAGACGGAGTTTCACTCTTGTTACCCAGGCTGGAGTGCAATGGCGCGATCTCGGCTCACCGCAACCTCCGCCTCCTGGGTTCAGGCAATTCTCCTGCCTCAGCCTCCTGAGTAGCTGGGATTACAGGCACGCGCCACCATGCCCAGCTAATTTTTTGTATTTTTAGTAGAGACGGGGTTTCACCATGTTGACCAGGATGGTTTCGATCTCTTGACCTCGTGATCCACCCGCCTCGGCCTCCCTAAGTACTGGGATTACAGGCTTGAGCCACCGCGCCCGGCCTGAACTCGGTTTTTTTAAGTTTGTGCCTTTTTTTAGCCCTCCGTAATATCCTGGCTCAGCCACCAGCTGCTGTCACCGTGGTCAATGTCTGAGGCACCCACTCTTCAGACGAAGCCCCATGCCCTCTGGAAGAGAAGTGTGCTCTTTGAGTGGGAGACAGTCCAGGTCAGGGTTATGCTGTGGCCCGGCAGCCCTCCTTCCAGCCCTGCCCGGCTCTGTCCTGCAGCACAGCTGGCCCGGGAGCCCATGGCATGGGGGCTGCAGCTTCCTCTCCCAAACCTTTCAGATGTTTCAACAACCTCGGGTCCATTCCGTGTGTAGAGTCACTCTGTAGCCTGAAACTGTCCCCAGGAGACTACAGGGAACAGTCCTGGCCAGCTCCTCTTTGTTTGCTGTAAGAAGCTTCCGGGGCATGCTCCAGCTCTCTCCCTAACCCCTCTTCGTGTGTTGCATTGTTGGTGCCATGCAGGGAGGGAAAGACCCCAGCAGCTGTGTGCACATGAGCCGCACCCCCACAGGCCAGCTGCAAGTCACTCCGTGGAAGCTGGCAAGCTGGCTCCCAGTCCTTCCAGCTGCATTCCCAGCTATTCCAGAACGAAGAAAGGACTGGCTGGGACAAACGTGGGCATGTCAGGTAGAACAGAGGACAAGATGGATCAGTTGCTCACTGTGCCTATCCTGTGGCCCTAGGGGACGTTCTGTGCCTGCCTGGCCTGGGAGCCTTGCCTTCGGGAGAAAGGAGAGCTGGGTCACCAACCCTTGCCTGCTGTGAAAGGGAGTGGAGCTTGGTAGTCACCTGACCCCCCAGGCTCCTGTCCTCAGGAGGGCTTGCTTTGTCAGAGCTGCACCAGGCAGGGTTGGGCTGCAGTTCATGGCCACCCCAGGTGGCAGGAAGTGATGAGCATTGCTGTGGGGAGGACACCACAGAGGAAGGCTGCCGGGCCAGGCCAGTGCCGCTGTCAGAAGCACACAGAGGCCACACGCCGTGGCTCATGCCTGTAATCCCAGCACTTGGAGAGGTCACGGTGGGCAGACCACTCGAGGTCAGGAGTTCAAGACCATTCGCCTGGCCAGTATGGTGAAATCCCGTCTGTACTAAAAATACAAAAGTTAGCTGGGCATGGCGGTGCACGCCTGTCATCCCCGCTACTCAGGAGGCTGAGGCAAGATAATTGCTTGAACCTGGGAGGCGAAGGTTGCAGTGAGCAGAGATCACACCACTGAACCCTGGGCAACAGTGAGACTCTGCCTTTAAAAAAGCCTGGCCAGGCGCAGTGGCTGAGGTGGGCAGATCACCTGGGGTTGGGAGTTCGAACCAGCCTGACCAATATGGAGAAACCCGGTCTCTACTGAAAATACAAAATTGGCCGGGTATGGTGGTACATGCCTGTAATCCCAGCTACTTGGGAGGCTGAGGCAGGAGAATCGCTTGAACCCAGGAGGCAGAAGTTGCAATGAGCCAAGATGGCGTCATTGCACTCCAGCCTGGGCAACAAGAGTGAGACTCCCATCCCCAAAAACCCTAAATATATAGTCTTTATCATTTTTAAATTTTAAAATTATTTTAAAACAAGCACATGAGATGCACTTCTTTCGTGAACCGCCACATCTAACAGCTCCAGAGTTCTGCTGAACCCCGAATCCCCATAGAGTCCCATCTTGAGTCAGCCAAAAATGAAGGGACAGGACACACCATATTCCGTGGTGTAAGCTGGCCACACTGGCTCACGTACTAGACCCCCGCTTCGTGTCCCCAGCTGGCATGGCCCTTCCCAGTGATGCCCGGTGAGGAGGGTGAGAACCATGCCAGCCACATACTGCCTGGGAGCCCGTCAGACGCCCCCATGGCCCCCATGGCCCTCCCGACAGCCTGTGGCTGCTCAGCTTCACCAGGAGCTTTTCGGCAGCCCCCTTGTGTGCCCCCTGCCCCAAGCTCTTCCTGCAGCCGGGGCTTTGCTGGGGAAGGCGGAGTCCCGTTGCCGTGGGTAGGCCACGTGTTCCACAGCCACTGCCCGGAGAAGCCACCTTCTGCCAGGACAGAGGAGGGAGACAGTCCGTGTGCTGCACACACAGCCCCTTTTCATGCCCAGGGGGCCTCCGAGCCACAGACTGCACCTCCAGTACTGTAGCAGCCTGGGTTCCAGCCATGGGCCTAGGGTGGGGTGGCCTAGAACTAGGTGGACGGGGCTGAGGGCCTCCCTGGGCCGCCGTGAGACTGCCAGTATTGAGTGGTCCCCAAAGCAGGCAGGTGCAGCACCCTCCAGACCCAGTAAGTGCGTGTGGAGCCGCCTTGACCGCACTGCCAGTGCCTGCCCGCCCATGAGAGGGCAGCAGGGAGCACAAGTCAGCAGGTGGGCATCAGCTCAGCGTCCTGGCGGGTCTATGTTCCTGCATCTTCCCCCGAAGTCAGCCTGGACACACCACTCACCTGGCCAGTGCCTTGCGTTCCTCCCACCAACTTGGGACTGGATGGGGGAGCACATGGGAGGGCTGGAGGTTCTGGGGTCGGGACCTGTGTAGATGCACAGACGCCCCGTGATGGGAGGACTCGGGAGGCAGCCCCCTGCAGCTCGAGGCTGGCCTCCCTGTTCCATGAGCTTGCTGGGCACAGCCCCTGTGGAGTGGTGTTCCCAGAGCGTGAACGCCCCGACACCCCCAGCCACCTTCCACCCAAACAGCAAGTCAGAGCTGCTGTCCCTGCACCAGCTCCAGGAACAAGCCACGAGTTCCCAGGCCTTCACAGGGCCATCATCAAGGACGAGGGATTTGTCCAGATGGGTGCTGGAGTGTCAGCGTTGAGGGGCTGCTCAACCCACAGGTGCCGGGCCCAGCAGGCAGGATGGCCCCCATGAGTGTCCAGGACCTGACTTCTTTTTTTTTTTGCGACAGAGTTTCGCTCTTGCTGCCCAGGCTGGAGTGCAATGGCGCCATCTCGGCTCACCGCAACCTCTGCCTCCCGGGTTCAAGCGATTCTCCTGCCTCAGCCTCCTGAGTAGCTGGGATTACAGGCATGCGCCACCATGCCCGGCTAATTTTGTATTTTTAGTAGAGATGGGGTTTCTTCATGTTGGTCAGGCTGGTCTCAAACACCTGACCTCAGGTGATCCACCCGCCTCAGCCTCCCAAAGTGCTGGGATCACAGGCTGGGCGCCCTCGCCAGGCTGCCTTTCTAGCCCCGGGTTGTCTCCCTGGCAGTGTGCCTGCCAGGTCGGTTTTAGGAGGAAAGGAGAGAGAGGCACCAGGCAGCCAGCGGCTCCCTTTCCCTGGCGGGTCTTACTTCTTTTAAAAATGTTTTTAGAGAATTAAATACTTTTCAAAAATGTATCTAGGACCAGGCTCATTCCCTCGGGGGGCTGGGTGTGCCATGAAACCAGGGATCCAGGACGCCTGCCACCTGGAGGCCCCAGCACAGGGACCATCTACCCAGCCAGGCGGCCCCTGCAGGGGCTCCCAGGGGTCCCGGCTCCCTCGACTCCTCCACAGCCAGTCATTCCTGCCTGCCCCCTGCCCTCCGTGTCTGTAGCTCCTGAGTTGCTGCTGCTGGTTGGTGAGAGAATTTCTGTCGTTCCCCTGGCGTGCCCACGTATTTTGACAAGAAAAGACAAGCAGGAAAATTGTCTTTTTCCCCAAGCTTCTTGCCCACGTCAAGGACAGGTCTAGGTAGCAGTGCTAATGAGAGGGATCTCTGCTGTTGGAGAGGGTGGGATGGGAGGGGTCTCAGAATCAAGATGCAGGCAGGATCAGGGAGGAAAAATTAGAAACCCCACTTATTTCAAGCCAGGATTGTGATAAGAAGGACTTTGGCTTCTTGTAATTCCTGTAATGGCTGTTTCCTGAAGGGTGGTGTCACGTGGAACCTCTTAATCTCAGCATCTGGAGCTCCAGGAGGGGAAAATTTCAAGTCAGATGGAATTCTATATATACCATTCCTTTCGAGCCTTCAGCCCTCAAGATTCCAACATCACGCCCTCAGTTTCGACACAGTTGTCCTTGGTCCTTAGGTCACTGGTTTTGGTGTTGCCTGTTGTCGAAGCAGAAGAAGCTGGTGACGTCGCCCTCTGTTAGGTGTGGCTCTCAGCATCACAGGCATTTGTGCCTGCTTGGGGGCATATGCATGAAAAACAAATGGACAGATGTGACGTTGAAGGGCTACCGAATCAAACCTCATCCTTTTCAACCTTCGTGCGATAGAGGCTAAACCTGAGCTTTGGTGTCTGCAGTAAATAAGGGATTTTTACATTTTTTGGTGTTTCCATGAAATGGGAACAAACATACATATATAAATTGGAAAAAAAAGTGTTTCTTTGCAACAAATAATGCACATAAAAATGCAGCCTATAATTTGTATTTGCTAGTTAGGAAGGAGGTCAAATGTCAGACGGCTGCAATTTACATAGGTAATATTTCATAGTTTTAGAATTCTCAAAGCCTGTGAAATAGGAAGAAGGAAGTTCTTGCCCAGAATCTTAGGAAATCACCACTGTTCGGTTATATTCGGTGCCTCCCAAATCGTTCAGGAGTCTTTTCTCAATCTTTTTATTAGATTTTTCTTTTTTTGTCACTCAAGTTAATATTGTATTCAGATATCAGAGAGTTAGC